TAAAATCTGGATGTCATTGGGGATTGAATTTGGTAGGGAATTAGGTGTGTGTGAAATCCGCAGTCTCTGGCTCTGTGGCTCTTTGGCTCTGAAGTTTCTGACTCACTGTTAGTAATAATAACCAAAACATGGTCTGGCCTAGAGCAGAGGCAGCCTCCAGCTCGGTAGACCCCAAATCCACTACTTATTTTGATCTCTTTTAAAATTCAGGAATAAGTTTTCCCAAACAAAGGAAAACTGTTAAACTTCTCAGGCAGTGAAATAATTGTACTTCTGGACATGGAGTAAAACAAACATTTTAGAAGTATAAATGAAGCTAGGAAAAAATAAGGGATTGTTTTGAAGGATATTCACAATCATTTGGTAGCCCTCCATTTACGCTTCAGGTTATTTTTGAAGGACTATTCAATTAATCATTGTTTAACCTGGCAAGTCCAAGAATTAATTGTGTATGTTTCTAAAATTCAGTATTTTCAAAAGATTGAAATCTTATAAATGTAACTGGAGAAAAATCAAAGAGCTGCCCCTAAAATATTATTTTCTCAGTTATATTTTACCCACTTTAACATGCTTAATGGTAAAAATACATTGCAAACTCAAGCATTTAATTGACAGTATTTAGAAAAAGCAGCATTATTAGAATGAGCTGATCATTCTGTTGGTTTTTGGTGTCTTGCTAGTAATTTTTCCATATGTTGCTCTCCTTTTCCACTCCCTGATTCCATTACTACTGCTCCAGACAATTCCCTACCAAGTGCTAAAGCTGAAAGATGTGTGCAAAGATAGCCTGCAAGTAATCCGGACAGGAGACCCTACATTTTAGAGGGGCGTGTCCTTAGCCCTCTGCTTTAATTATAAGATATATTATCAAGTCAATTGATTCACCGAAGAAATAATTATTTTTTCTGCTTCCCATAAATTAGTTGAAAAGAGGATTAAAGATTCACCAGAAATACAGGCCACTACAGAAACCAAGTGTAAAGAAGAGTGGGTCTGAATTTCTTGCTCTCAAAAGGCTAGTCCAATGCTCCTTTCCTATCGGTGACCTATCACTGAGAGAGCTCCCTGCACTAATCGAAAGTCGTTTGTGTTTCTGTGTCTATCCATCCTATATTTTGGTGAATGGAATGCTATTTGGAACCTTCTGCGCAAAGCAAATCAGACCTTTTGCAAATGTAGTGATTGTCTCCAACTTCTGAATGAAAGGGCGAAGTATGAAAAACAAACAGAAAACAGAAGAGAATGACAGGGCCATCAAATGAGGAAGAAAAACTGAAGAAATACACACGAGTGCATTTCAGCTAATGACTTATTTGCGTTCAGTCAGAATTTCCCATGCCCCTCACCCACTCCTTGTCATCTTCTAAACTGATACTAGGGAAAAATTTAATTAATAAATTTGATATGATGTATATAGACAATGCAGAATAAAAATAGAAAATCAACATTAAGGAATGTAGAGAAGCCACGTGAGTAGGGGAAAAAATGAAACCAAATAACTGGGAAGAAGAACTGGAAAATACTCGATATGCCAGAAGACTTCTAAGAACAGAACTCTTTTGAGAGGACATTCAATTAAACCAAAAGTTTCTTTCTGGTAAGTTTACTAAAAAAAACGATTGTTGAAATTCTTTGATTGAAACTGAGTATCCAGCATTAACACGTAGAATAAAATACTTTCAACTTATATGAGGAAAACTGCAGAAAGGTTAAAAAAATCAGGCATCTCGTATTTATTTTTAGGTTCGCTAATTAACTAAAGAAGACTTACCCCCTGTTTAAGCTGCTGTATAATTAAGGTATCTGAGTACAAAGAATTTATCCCTAAAGCTAAATTAGAATGTAGGAGGCAAAATCTGAGACTTTTCAGGTACTCTTTTTTAAAAATACAAACTTCTGAAAGGATTGTCTGTTCTTCTAATAAATCATTGAGAAGCTGTCGTAGGCGATGCACTCTCATCGGTGCCATGGGGGCTGTAGAGATAAAATAAAGTTTCTTTCTACACCAGTTTATAAAAGGCTGGTAATCTGAGAAGGCTAGAATAAATGCTTCCTGAAATTTGGTTATCTTAGACCATGCCTAGTGCCTAAGTTTTCTGGTTAGGGAAGAGTTGGCCAATGTAAGCAGCAAGGCCCTTTATTTTAAAATAAATAAAAGTGGATGGTAGGGACACGGAACCTACTTTAATCTTCTTTAATCCTTTTTTAATTATGTAGAATCATCAAACGAGCACAGGCGACCACACTGAGCCAGAGTGCAGTCACGCTCTCGGGGCTTAGCAAGTATCAGACTGTTTCGTCTGCACCCCATGGTCTCAGGCTGTTCCGCTTGGTCATCATGAGCATCGTTAGTGACTGCTGTTTAATGAGCCCCTTTTCTCAATTTTAAGAACTTCTTAATGTTAAGCACTTTTTGACCCTCACCACAGTCTCTACGAAATAGGTACTGTTTTATAGACACTGAGGCTTAGAAGTGTAATGACTCTTGCCCACGTTCGTGAAGCTTTTGGCTACTCGAGTCAGGATTCAGACCCAAGTCTAACTCTGGCACCTGATTGTGGCATTACTGTTCTGCAGGACTTTAGTCTTTTATCTGAATTCTGAAGTCCAAAAAGCTCTAAAAATTGAAGTTCCTTTTTTATACTTTTGGTGCCAGAATTCATTCCGTGACAAAACCTGACCTGAGGCCATGGTCCTTATCCTGCTCGGTGTAAACGTTCACAGATTTCATTGCAGCTATATTGTGTCTGTATAATAGACCATATTATGCAATAGATGTACGTACTCCTTTTTACCTTGCTAAAATCTGAAAACCTTTGAATTTTGAAACCATCTAGCCCCGTGGGTCTTGAGAACAGATGTGAACCCGCCCGCCCCTTGCCTCCTGCGCCTGCCAGCCCAATCTCCCTTCTCCCGGCCCTCCCTCTTCACCCTGCCCCCCATTTCTAATTTGCTGCTCCTACTGTGCTGTGGACATGGAAGTTTAAGCATGTAAACTTTCACTACCCAGAAAACTCAGATGATTTTTTAAAATCTCGAGTTCATACCGATACTCCCCGTTCCAGCTCAGTACCCCAGGGTTCTTCCTCCGTTCCCTGACTCCCTTCTCCTTCAGGGAGAACGTCAACATTTCCTTTGTGCTGTAAAAAAATTCCTTTCTATTTAACCAGGATGCAAAGTATTTCTCCTGGTATGTGAAACTGTAGATGTACGTTTAAACTTGGATAATAAATCCTTCATTTTATAATGAGATTCACTATGATTTGTTTTAAATATCAGCATTTTTAGTGCACTTAAAATGATTCGTTTTAAAAATTACATTTATACAGAACATTTTAGGAATGATATATGTAATCTGAAACAAAACAACCAGAGTCATTTTAAATGTTAATTGTCTAAGACCAAATAATTGTGCGCAGAATAGATGTCGGAAGGTCTTTGCTGGGATGTTACACCCCTTACTTGTAGTGAGTATTTCCCTTTGGGGAAAAGTGAAAGAATTATCAGTTAGTGAAAGATTTAATGAAGGCCTTCGGTATGCTCACTCAGAATGAGGGAAGTAAGGAATGGATTGTTTAAGACTAATCTTTTATTCTGGCTATTTTGAAAAATGGAGAAGGGGGGTCAGTGGTGGGGGAGAAAGGTTCTGCCAATGATTTTCAAAAGTGGATTATTTCCAGTCTTATTAGGTGGAGCGAGGAAAGGAATAAACCAGAACTTGGCTGGAAGTGTTAGAAAATCAGATTTACTTCTGAAACTCGTAATTTGCTGCCTTTATCACATTTGGAAGAATGAGGAGAGTTTGGAGGGGAAAATTGTTAGATGAGCTCTGCTTCTCTCTCTGGGCCTGGGCCCAAGCTTGCCCTCTCCCAACAGCCTCCAGGGACTGTGGAGCCACGGGAAGGCCTATTGAGTGTGAGGGAGTTGGGATGGACCCATAAGTATCACAGAGGACAGAAGGGGGACTAATGTTTATTGAACACTTGCTCTGTGTCAGGCTCCAGTACACATTATCATATTTAATCTCCACAAAACCTGGTTTCATCCCCATTTTACAGATTAAGGCAGCTGGGACTCAGAGAGGTTAAGAAGCTTACCAGAGGTTTCCCACACCCAAAATGGAGGAGTTGGGACCGAAGCACATTTCTGTCCCAAAGCTCATGTCCTTTCTATCATGTCCTCCATCCCCCAGCCGTCATTGAGTTTACAGCAGGGCTGGGGATTGGGGGCAAGACCAGTCATGGAACTACTCTGGTCACATGGCAGCCAGGGAAGTGGCTGGGGGTTCCTCTTTCAGGTGTCCAGGTGCCTTTTCTCTCACTGTGTCCTAGTTATGTAAATTTTATGCACAACCAGCTCAGGGCAATCGACAGAAGACTCCCTGACAACACTGGGTCTTTTCTTCTTGGACGTGCCATAGTAGATCACTCCACTTTTGAGCACCCCCAGGAGCTGGTTTCTCTGGCGCCTCCCGAGTCCCGTGTCTGGGTCAGAGCTGGGGTCTGTGGCTGCTTCCCAGCGTGACAGAGCTCTGGTCCCTGAAGAAACACATTTGAAGAAAATCTTAGGAAACAGTTGGCACACAATCGGTGAATATTTGTGGAATGAGTGGATCTGTTGCCTTCTGGAAACCCCTATGAACAGGAGTGGATTTACATGCTCTCCTACTTTTGTCCTTGGCAGTTTTACAATGGTGTTTATTTGAAAACAAATTCAGATGAGATCCCAGGTCACTTTTATATTGCTTCTGGTAGCACTAGGAACGTATTTGTGTTAAGGAAAAAAAAAACTGCTTTCAAGGTTGCCTTTTGTAATAAATGTTCTTTTTCTATTCTAATTAAATTATTTTCTTAAACTTGCTATTTCAAAGGATAAAAATTTAGAGACTGTAGGATTATTTAATTTTCTCTTCCTAACCCGTAACTGTGCTACCACGAGAGCACTTTATTATTCCATCTGTTAGACTGTAAAATCAGGGAACGTTTTTCATCTCTTAATAGGGAGAGATAATGCGTGCGAGAAAACTTCGTATATGTTTCTACGAAAGGAGCTTCCTGTACGACTGGCTAACACAATGAGAGAAGTTAATCTTCTGCCGGATAATTTGCTTAACCGCCCTTCAGTAGGATTGGTTCAGAGTTGGTAAGTAAATAATGTGGCTTCAGGTGGGGTTTCCCATAATGCTCTGAACTTCTGGCACTGGGACCATTCTCCCTAAAAGTACACATCCTGCCTGTGTGGGAATGAGTAATTCGGGAAGCCGGGCTTTCCAGACAATTAAGTTTGTTTGGTTTTTTTTAACTGGCAATTTGAATTGTCATACTGAAAATACTTCTAAACTCTACTAGACACTTTCTTGACTTTTCAGAGGTTTTTTTCTGGTTATAAATGTGATTGCTTATCAAAAAAATTGGAAAGTGCAGAACAATATACAGGAATAGCAATGCAGTGACCGGCACGAGCAGGTCTGCAGTCCTTTGGTTAGGGGGATGTTGTCGCTTTGATCAAGTCCCAGCCATGTTCCTTTCGTTTTCCTTGGAAAGAAGTTCCTTGGAGGCAGTACTTCTGTTAGAACAAATTAAGTCATTTAAAGGGGAACCTCAGATTGGAAGAATATCAGTGCCTGCTGCGCTTCAGTTGCCCTGGGAAAGTATGAAAACTCTTAACGGTCTAACTTAAAGCTCAATCGGGTATGGCTCTCTTGCTTAAAGCGTGTGTTATTTAATTGAGGAAGTTGTATTTGTGACTACTCACTAGGTAAGCAGGGTGAGGTTGGTGAGTGGCGTAGGATGTAAGAGCAGGCAGTGTATTTTTATAAAGGGATTTGCATAGATTGGAGAAACACTTGCATGTCTCCTCTGTATTATAAAAGCAAGGTAGACGTCACTGTGGAGAAAGCTGGAGGAGTTTGGGAGGCCAGACGCAAAAAGTGCTCTCAAGCCAGTACAGAGGAAGTGCTGTGGGAGCGAGGAGGGGGAGTGCCGGCTGTGGCTTTGCACTGCCCCTTGGTGGGAGGGTGGGATTGGCAGGGGCAGGGAGAAGCTTTTAGGGGAAGGGAATGAAGTGGACACATATAAGGAGAATGGAACTATAAATTAGTTTGCATTTAAAGGGTTAATGGAGGCCAGGCTACTGAAACAGAATGGACATTCAACAGTCATTTGTCAATTACATTAATTCTCATAAATTCTTAGGGCTGAGAATGGGTTGTCTGAGAAACACTGTGTTGGGTGGTCTTAGAGATACAGTGTCCAGTCCCTGGCCCAGACAGGCAGCAGCTGCTCGCTGTGGCAGGTGCAGGGACCCTAGAACCCAGGAGAGGTCAGAGAGATGAGGACGGTGGCTTTGATCTCAGTCACTTGCGTTCTACCCTAAATTCGTAGCTTGTTTCCGAAGGAGCAGAAAGTACTTGTTTGCATGAGACCTCTTTATTGCTTCAAGACCATCATTAGAAACTTTTCAGCAGAAAATACATTAACTCTTAGAGGTCACCTTGGTGGGGATTCTAGGTAGACTAGATGACTTTCAAGTCCCTGGTCCTGGTGGCAGTGACAGACACCTGCTATTGCTTATATAAAAGTTACTTCAGGGGCTTCCGAGTGAATTGCTGACAAGTATAGATTCAAACAAATTACTGGGTCAACTTTTTCTCTCCTCACCATTCCTCTTCCTTAGCTGTTCCAAACACATGCATGTCATTTCTTCCTTTCTTTTTTAAACATTCAATTTTGAAATAATTTCCTGCTTAACAGAAGGATTCCAAGGCTAGTAGCAAGAATTCCCATATACCTTCACCCGGCTTCATTAGTTGTTAACATTTGGCAACATTTGTTCTATCATTCTCATTCATATTCTCTCTCTCTTTTTCCATAAATATATGTGTGTGTGTGTGTGTATATATCTGTCTATACGTATGGACCATACATGTATATACGGCACACACACATATATGATACATACACGTTATTTTTTTTTCTGAACCCTTTAGATTAACGGTAGACATCAGTCCCCTTTACCCCTAAATACTTTAGTATGCATCTCCTTAAAACAGCTCTTAGAAAACCACAGTATGATTATCAAACTTGGGAATTTAACATTGATCCAGTAATATTTTCTAATATGTAGAACTTGTTCTCATTTCGTTAATTGTCCTAATAATGCTGTCTTTTTTTAAGCAATCCTGCCTCCCTCGATTTAGGAATCCAGTTCAGGATCATGCACTGTGCTTCGTTGTCATTTCCTTTTCCTCTTAAAAGGGGTATTTCTTCCGTACAACGGGCCGTGAATGCCGGCTCAGTCAGCGTGTGTTCTCCTTGCTCTCTTGACTTTGAGGCTGGGAAGCTCAGCATGATCTTTGACTCCTCTCCATTTATGATTTTGTTCTTTAAGTGAACTCTCCCCTTCCGAAAGGATGGGATGCCTCCCTAAGGTTCTGCTGGTGTGTGACAGGACAAAGGGCATCACTCCCGATGGCTGACTTTGGCCTCTCAGGGAGGTTTGACCCGATGATTTCAACAAGATCTAATCCATAGCCTTGTATGCCCAGAGGCTTTTAAAGAAATATCCACAGGGGTGAACCTACTTTAGTATCATGCGTTGTCACAAAGTTCAAGTGAGGCTGATTAATAAAACATCATTCCTGTTTATGTATTTATATGCTTAACAGGCATTTCTAGTTACTGGAGTGCCCTCATCCTCTATCCAGAGCTGGATAGTAGGACTAGTGCTGATTAATTGTTAGAAGTCATTAGAATAAGGGTAATTCTTTCAGGGCATCTTAAGACCCAAAGCGGAGATCACACGCCTCTGAGTGACTGGAGTTTCTGAATCCTCACTAGATCTGGACGTAGCTGCCACAGTAATGTGCCTCTCTGAAGCCCATTTTTCTCTGTTCTCCAGATCTTTCTATGGGACACATTTCTTGTACTGACCCTGACTGAGATGTGTAGCTATTCTTAATGCAGAAACTGTTTCTGAGAGCCTAAGAGGCATTCCTTCTCCTCCATTACATGTTGATGAAATTAGTCTAACTCTGAGAAGGAACCTTTGTTTCTAAGTTCTTAGCATGCACTTCAGTGCCACCCATGTGCTGCTTACAATTTATATGCACTTTTTTTGGGTAATCAAACTATAGACAGTGTATCAGTTAGGATATGTTTGTTTGTAAATAGCAGGAAATCCAACTCAACCTGGCTTAAAACAATAAATTGGCTCATGTACCTATAAGATCCAGCCATAGGATGAGCTTTTGGTGTTGGTTTGATTCAGAGATTCATGCAATTATCAGGGTCCTGCTTTCCGTGGTGTCAGCTTCATTTTCAGGCTGGATTTCCTCCTGGTGACAGAATAGCTGCAGCATTTCCAGGCTTCACATCCACATAGCTCACTGTACAGAAGCAGAGCAGGTTGATTTCTCTCTCAAAGACCTTCACAAAGTCTTCTCTCTTATTTTACGGGCCTGAATTGAGGCAGTATGCTCATTCCTGAGCCAATCTCTGTCTTCAGGGGAATGCGACACAGTGACAGGCTTAGACCTGGACTATCGGACTAATTAGGAATTAGTGACAAGAGAAATAGGATTACCCAGAGAAACATCGGGCCACCCAGGAGATTGCGTGGCGTCAGCTTTCCCTGAAGCACTTGGGCTACATGAGGGGAAGGAAATAGGATGGATACTTGAGTGAAAGTTTGGGGTACTCTTAGGAAGAGGGAAAGGAGGAATGGATGTCAGGTAGGTAACTAACACAATAACTCTTCTTTTTCAGGTACATGCAGAGCTTTCTTGAGCTTTTAGAATATGAAAACAAAAGCCCTGAGGATCCACAGGTCTTGGATAAGTAAGTATGGCGCCAAATTTACCTGAAAGTGAAAATATCTAGGCAAAAAGTGTTTTGGTAAATGGAACTCAGGTCATTAAGAACCAAGAAAGCGTTAGGTTTCTTAATGGGTAATGACTCAACATTGCATTTTTTAAAGATTTGAGCTAAGAATTTAACATAGTACAAGAGGAATAGTGACACTTCAAATTATGCTTCATGATCCGTTTCCTAATACCTTTTACTCGTAGTGAACTGGTGCGGGGCACTCACTGTGAATATTGCAGTAGATGTTCCACCTAGTGGCAGTTTTAAGAATGCAGTGGTCTCTGCATATGCGTGAGTTTATCTACTCAATCCTTTACAATTTTTTTTAAAAATTTTCAATGTGATATTACATTACAGGAAAACTGTAAGGCTTTTATTTTGGAGCCGCATAAAAGATACGTAACATACTGAATTCTATTGCTATTATGCACAAAAACTGCTAAATTCTCATGCTGATGGAAAATGTTTGTTTTTCGTTTTCTTTTAACTAGAAAACACTAACCCTAGCTCTTAGTGTGGTTTGTTCCCCCAAGAGAAATTAAGTAGCCCCTTCACATTACTTTCCTCCTGTTGCATGTACACATGGGCGATGCCGATGGCAGACCTGTTGTGCTAAGGAATTTCTTTCTAAGTAGAAACCTGGTCCACACAACTGTGAGACTGAACACCTCACATCTAGGTGTTCCATAAAAAGAACTAGAGAAACACCCCATGATACAAGACGTTAGCTCAGGGCATTTAACCCAGCCCTCTCAATTCATAGATAAGGTTTCTGAGGTCACGGATGTGAAGTGTCTTGCCTAAGATTGTGACATCAGTTAGTAGCAGAGCTGGATCTGTAAATCAGGTTTTCTTTTCCTTAGCACATTGTTCTTTACAATGTGCTGGACTGCCAGAACTGCTGATTTGAGCCATGAGTCACTAGCTCAAGTTTAGTTGTAAATGAAAATACAAAGGGAAAAAACTCTTGACCCGTTTTATACTTTGCTAGGCGTTTGTTGCATGGAGCTGTGAACTGTGGAAAGGAGGCTTTGGGTTAGAGCCCCAAAGGCAGTGTTTTCCTTGCTGTCACCCCTTGCTGTCAGTTAAGGTATTGAAACTAAATGAATCGAAGTCAGAAGCTTTGTTTTCTCAGGTCATTAGCTACTAATAGTTTGGCTGATATCCTAAAAATTAAGACTGAAGGACTGACCTCTCTGGCTCCAAATCTTAGGCTGTAGATTTGGGGTGGTATCCAATATCAGATTTTTGCTGTGTGTTTCCCAGAGGCCAGTCTCAGTTTCTGGAACAGGTTATCAGTCAGATGCGATTTATGGACGTGAGCCTGCTTTGTCAGCTGCCGAGTGCTGGATCCAGTGTGTGCGAGGTCATAATGGTAATAGCTCTCACTCTGTTAATTTCGGTAACCTGCCTAGGTTCATGCAGCTTGTTAAAAGAGTTGGGAGTTGAGAAGCCTGGCGCTCATGGTGAAGGAAGGAGTGGGAAGTGAGGGAGTTGTTTTATCAGAGTAACAGCCTTTTCTGTTCCGTGAGCGGTTGTACAGGAGTCACAGGCAGGGAAGTCATCTTAGCAAAGTAAAAGTCGCTTAGAGGACAAGCCTGTTTATCGTAATGATAAAGTTTAGAAGAGCCCCAGAAGACTGGTGAAGTGTTCTGAGAATTGAACCATTGGGGCAAGTCCCCTCCCTTGAGATAAATTGAGGCACTTCTCCACGATGATGAAATGTTTCATTTTAGTAATATTTGTAAACATGTTGGAAAGAGCATTACGTAAATGACAAATTGTCCATTATGAAATTTCTTGTGAATAATTATGACCTAATTTCAGAGTTGATTTATTCATCTTTACTGTCTTTGTACATTTGTGTTTGTTACAGAAATATTTCATCATTTAGAATAAGACTATTCAGATAAGTAAAAAGAAAGTCGAAATTTCCACTGCCAGGGGACAATCATTGTTAACATTTTTCTTCCATCCATACTTTTTCCTAGGCATGCATATTTCTATATGTGCAAAATATTTTTTCAAAAATAACAATGTAGACAGATCTGCACCATTGTTAAGAGCTTCATAATGCTCCATCTAAAGATAAGTCATGTGATTTGACCTCTGATCATAGGCTTTTAGAATAGTTTGTAGCTTTCTGGCTAGTATAAGCAGCGCTCTAAAGAACAGCTCTAAATGTAGCTGTTGGCCTTGTCCTGGAAGTTTCCTAGGATCAGTTCCTGGGAGTGGAATGACTTTCTTTGGCTTTTGATATATGTTGCTAAATTGTCCCTACAAATGTGTCAGTGAGGCTCCCGTACTCCAGCTGGCGCTGGTTATTCTTTGCCAGTCTGATATGTGGAAACTAGCATTACGTTGTTTTAATTTGCTTTTCTTTTATTATCTTGAAAGTGAAGTTACTGGCACTTGTGTTTCCTCTGTGGTACATTTTCCACTGATGCCAGCTCTCTCGCCTGGTTTTCTGTTAGGCTACTCATCTTTTCTTTTGTCTGGTGCAAATATATTTTTCCCGGTTTTCACTTTGTTTTTTTGGCTTTATAATGTATGTCCTTATAGAATTGCTGAAATTCCACATAGTTGTATCATTGAATTCTTCATGGTTTCTGCCTTCGATATTAAGTCTGGAACAGCCTTCCTTACCCTGAGGTTATATACTTATTCACTTGATTTTCTCTTATCTTTTGTGTGATTTCATTCTTTTACATTTAAATCTTTTAACCCATTTTTTTTGGCTGAAGGCTTGAAATTGAGAGGTGACTTAAATAGTTAGCCAGCTGTCCCAACTAATTTGCTTGTTTCTCTGCTGACCTGCAGTGTCACTTTATCAATATGCTAAATTTTCATACACACATACTCACCCTTGGGCCTGGCTCCGAGCTTTTTATTTGGTTCCATTGACTTGTCTTTCTATTCTTCGTTGCCATTTTTAATGTATTTTCCCCTTTGCATCTTTACAGTAATATACTAGAAATTGCCTTAGTTCTGTCTACACTTTATCATTATATTTTACTGCTGTGAGAAATTTATTTCAAAATCTTAGTCTTAAAATATTTGAAGTTGAAGAATTATTTATTCATGGAAGCTATTGCTTTGAGCCTCTAATAAATCCTTGAAGGTTTTTTTGGGTTGTCCTTATGTTGTCAGAAGAAGTATTAATATGTTCTGCAATTATTCAGCAAACATTTATAAAACTTATATGTAATCACTTATCCAAAGTCAGTCAATTTCTAAAAAGGTATTTGAGCATTTTTTTCTTTACTAGAACCTTTTACTTTTTGTGTCTCTGAAAGAATTTCTGTAGAAAGTTCCAAGCAAAAACTTCGCTAATACTTTGGCTTCTTGTGAGTACTTCCTTGTAGTCTGTAGTGATAATGATGTCTCTACCTATAAAAATACCGGCAGAGAAATAGTCCGGACATGGAGCTGGGAAGTTTATGTCTTAGCCCATGAGATGTAAAGACTGACCACTTTTTGTTTCTCTCCCACACAGCTTTCTGCAAGTTCTGATTAAAGTCAGAAATAGACACAATGATGTGGTTCCTACAATGGCTCAAGGAGTGATTGAATACAAGGAGAAGTTTGGGTTTGATCCGTTCATTAGCAGTAACATCCAGTATTTTCTAGATCGATTTTATACCAACCGCATCTCTTTCCGCATGCTTATTAACCAGCACAGTAAGTTGGGGTTTTGGTCCAGTTTTGAAATGGTAACTGGAGTGATTTCTCCTACATGTTTTCCTGTTGCTTCACTTTTAATTTACTGATCTGCATTTTTGTCTTTAGAAATGTCATTTCCAGTTCTGTTTTTCCTTCGTAGAGCTTATCTATTAAAAAGCTATTCATTAGTATTCTTTGTTGAAAGAAATCCTTGAAAGACCTTGATGATGCTCCTGTTAGAGACAGGACCACTGCCTGCTTTTGAAGCCTCTACCGTTACATTCCTGGTGGAGGCGGGGACCGACCGGCTTTAAGGGCAGCCGGGCGTTCATCTCTGAATACTTTCACGTGGCTCTGAGAGCATGTTCTAGTCTTTATCCAGGATGTTACATGTCTTCCTTTTTGGTTTTAAAAACATTGATACTGGGAATATTGAGTTGGCATGTTGACAATAAGAGCAATCGATCTTTTATTTCACAGTGATCAGTAAAGTTAAGTGAATGTCAAACCATAATCTCGTATTGAGAGTTTTAGTTTACTCTCCAGGCTGATACGCAGATAAGAGAAAAACACCTCAAATTCTCTTCACAAAAAACTTTTTGGCTCATTTGCAGCGTTATGTCTTTGCCTGATTTCATAATTCTTATGAAGAAGCATCCACATGTCTAGAATCTAAATCATCCTCTTTGCTGAATCAGAAAATGAACAGAGCATTTTATTGTATAAATTTAATTTGTTTGGATAAACGAATGTTATACAGCTATTAAATGTGGGTTGGTCCTAAATGTATATCTTTTAAAAATAGAAATGTATGACAATTTACAGGAAATTTTAAAGGGAAAAAAACCTAGATACTATTCAACTAAACTACTTAGATAACTACAATTTCTTTCTGACTTAAACATGTGTGTTTCCATATATATGTACATGTTTTTAGATGAGCGGTTAAGCTTGTACACCTCTGTTTTTCTTTCACTTAGTTGCAATTTTATGTATTGGCCTAATGCCCATATTTGTCATTTTTCGTAGTTTAAAATATGCCCTATTTAAGCATTCTTCTTTTGTGGAACCTAAGTTATTTTCAATTTTTGTTTGACTTAAAAATAAGTACACCTATACATATATGGATTCAGATGACTTTTTTCTTTGGGGCTCCTTTTGGCTTTTACTCAGAAGTAAAGTTTTGCAAATCTTGTGTGTTTGTGCAAGTATTTGAATGTACTTTTAAAAATACTTGAACAAATATTGTTTGTGTATACTACGTTGAAAAATAATCTCCATGATGGAGGCATTTGAAATGTTGACAGTGAAGACACTTTGCAAGCCTGGGCTAATGGTGCAGACTACATTTTCTAAATATTTAGTGGATGTTGGAATAAATATGTGGCGTAGTACTGAGAAGGTTGGTAAACTTGGCTAAGGCTGAAAGTAAGTTTTTTCATCCAGGTCACATTGGGTTGGGGAAAAAGGGTTGGACACCTGGCGCATGTCATTGCTTTAGGACCTGCTAACTGGAACTGGCAGGTCTTAAAGCATGTCCTGCCTCCTTCATTGTCCAGTAGAGTCGATCACCCATCATTGTACGCATTCTATTGCTTTAAGTCACTGTGGCTGCTAAAATGATTCTTACAAATAAAAGAATCTTTCAGAACTTAGAAACCTCTATGCTTCTCTGCTTGACCATCCCGGCCTGCTTTGTGTTTAATCTCTCCCTTCCCTTTTGTATTTGTTTAGCACTGCTCTTTGGTGGCGACACTAACCCTGCTCATCCGAAGCACATAGGAAGTATTGATCCCACCTGCAATGTGGCTGACGTGGTGAAAGGTAAGGAGACCATCGTAATGTTAGTTATTGTAGTTCAAATAAGATTGTGGCTTAACTGAGGCAGCTTGACTATCGGGTTATTCATCAGGTTATGTTGCTAAGTTGTTTACTGATTCTAGGGTCAAGCCACTTGATCCAAATATGAAATGTTCTTTCTAGGCAGTTCAGGAAAGATGCATAATTAGTTAATGCTCAAAATGGGAGTTTCTCCTACGTTGACTAGGGTTTTACTTGTAGTTCTATCTTAAAGAGTAAGCACTTGTTAGCTTAAGATTCTAAGTTTTCGTTGCCACCATTATCTGAAAATTTCAGAGAATGCAAATCCTTATTATAAAATATGACTGAATTCACATGCTTGTAAAATTTAAACATCCTTCTGATGTGCACTCCAGGTTTTAGAATGTACATGACATATGGGCTTCAGGGGTTCACTGGACATGGGGCTAGACACTGTTTCAGTAGCCTTAGGGTAGAACAGAGCCCTTGAGCCATAAGTCCCTAGGACCCAGGCACTTTGGTTTTGAACAGCAGTTTCCTTGTTATTCGTTTAGGATAAGTGCTTGTTGCCCAAGCAGAGTGACCCCTGCTGTTGGAGCTTAGAGGGCCAAGGGAGGTGGCCCAGTGTGTGCAGCCTCCCCAGTAGGGGAACAGACCAGACCTTTAGCAGCCATAGTTAAGCAAAACCTGTGCTATTTGTTTATCCAGGGAATTCCTAAATCCGGGGATGAGTCCCCAGGCATGGGCCTTTGCTCAGCCTAAGATTGTCGAGCTGTTCTGGCCTCTGTTTAATTAGGAAACATTTACTCAAATTATTTCAGTTCTAAGGTGACTAGGCCCCGCCTCAGCTCCCTAAGAACCCTGTGGGTTGCTCTCTCACAGATGACCCTGTGGTTGATCATGACCTCTGCAGGCCCCCAGAGGGGAAGGGAAGCAGGATTGGTCTTGTCATAGCTTATGTGTTCATTAGCCCCAGGCCCGATGGCTTTTATGAATCAGAAAACCTGGTTCAGATGGTTGACTGACCTTAGGGAAAAAGGCACACATTCAGAAAGCAAATTGCATTATTATATACTGCACGTGTACATTTTCTCTTGCATTGTAAGCAATTTGAGGTCAAGGTTTATGTCTTACACTTGTTTTGTAACTCACATAAAACTTAGTACATGCCTGTGTAGATGGTCAATGAATATTCCTTGGTTTGATAAATTTTAAACCTTTTGATAACTTACTTTTTTAAAAAACTGCTTGAGATATAATTCATATACGTACTATACAATTCACCCATTTAAAGTGTACAATTCGGTGGTTTTTAGAATATTCACAGAGTTGTATAGCCATTGCCACAATCCAGTTTTAGAACATTTTTATCACCTCGAAAAGAAACCCCCATACCCGTTAGCAGTCGCTCCCCACTACCCCTCTCCCCAGCACCAGGCAACCACTAATCTACTTTCTGTCTCTATAGATTTTCCTCTTCTGGGCATTTAATATAAATGGAATCATACAATATGTGGTCTTTTGTGTGTGCCTTCTTTCACTTAGCCTAATGTTTTTGAGGGTCGTCCACATTGTCACATGCATCAGTGCTTCATTCCTTTTTGTAGCTGGATAATACTCCAGTATGGATTACGACGTTTTGTTTCTGCATCAGCTGATGGACATTTGGGTTAGCTGGACAACCTTGGACATGTTATGTAACCTCTTTGGGCCTCAGTTTCTTCATCTATAAAATGGTGCTATTGGGAATTCACCTATATCATGAGGTTAAACGAGTTAAACTTTATAGAGCCCCTAAAGCAGTGCTAGCCCCCAGTGAGGGCTGTGGACAAGTCCACAGGCAGTCATCCTTGGGCATCATACAAGTCGTTTGGCTTCTTATTTTTACTGTTACTTATATAATAGACTGCTGCCTTTACTTTTGTTTGTGGCATAAATTATAAAGTATCTTTAAAAGTCAGGACGTTTATAAGACAATTGGATATTTGACATTCAGGAAATATTGTTAAGTTTTCAGATGTGATATTGGTATTGTGGTTCTGTTTTTTTAAAGGAGTCCTAGCTTGAAGAGAGGTATTTTGAAATATTATGCATGATATAAAATGACATATGTGATTTGCTTCAAAATGATGCACAGGGAGGGGGGTGAAAAAGATCGGACGTGTGTTGAACCCTGCTGAGGCTGGTGATGGCTTCGTGAGGATTCGTTACACTGTACGCCGTACTTTTGCATATGTTCGCAGTTCTTCATAGTAAAGTTGTAAAAGCAGACTCATTTTCATCATCTCATTGTTTCTTCACAAAGTCATTCATTAGTTTTTCGAGTTTTTAACCACGAATCAGGACAGCTAGATAAGTAAGGGGATTCTGGGCCGCTGTTAGCACTGCTGTGGAGCAGAGAGGTGAAGCCGAGCTGGAGGGAGTCGGAGGCCTCGTGGGAGAGGATGAGGAGGAACCTGCTGCGACTTGATGCTGAAGGCGAAAAGAACTCGTTTGGCAGCCTTCACTGTACTGCTCTTACTGGCCTTATTACCCCCTACCTGGTCTTGGTGCTGTTTCTGCTTCTGTTCATCTCTCCAACAGGGTGTAAATTTCTAAAGGTGCGGAATGACTCTTACTCCCTTTTGCATCACCCCTCTCAGGGACTGAGGTTTTGTACCAAAAACAAGCTGAAGATTATGTGCAAAACAATTCAGCCGATATTTAAAGGAAAGAAACTGGAAGTTTATGCTTACAGTCTGCCTCGTGGCTTCCTGCTTTCTTTGTTCTTTTTAGTCACGCTTTTGACCACAGGCCAGATCTCCTCCTCTTTCCGCCCTCCTCCTGTGCTCACTCACAGCTTTATCTTTGTTCTTTCTCCTGCCCTTTTTTACTTTTTACCCAGTGAGACCACTATTGTACCTTGAACAAAGTTTGCTCCATCCTCTCATTTAAGCATTCCTACCTCTTGCTTGGCATAACTTAAAGCCTGGAATCCTGGTGAAGCTGTATCCAGTCAGAATCACCCCTCATGCCCCTCTGCCACTTGGAATGCCACTTCCCCCAAGATGCATGCATGCACGCACACTCCTACCCCCCCCCCCCACGCTCATGGGGTAAGGAGGAAGGACTGGCGTGCTGCCTGCTCCCCACCGTATCTTTTGAACCATGTTTTTCATTTCTCAACAGCCTCTCCCTTTATGGAAAACAGCAGTGGAGGGTGGTTTTAGATTCTGAAAGTGTATAAACATGGAAAGCAACATCCACATGATCAAGTCTTCTGCCACCCCTCATTCCCATCATAAATCACACCTACTGATACCCACAACACATTAAGCACGCTTGGCTTGTACATACTTTCTAGAATGCTGCTGTGCTGCTCCCACCTCCTGAAGTGTATGCTTACTAAGGGTCACTTGGTTGTTCTCAAACCATTGGTATAGGTTATGCCACCTGTTGTGACTACATTATTTAAATGTTATATAAACTAAAGAAATTTGAGTACAGAAAAGAGACTTATTTCCATTAAATTGAGTTGAATTCTTTGGAAAGACTTGATAAAGAAGTCTCTTAAAAATGTAATGAAATGACTGTGAATAAGATAACTTTTAGGTTACAGGGCAAAGTAAAAATCTTGGAAGGAATCTGCACTGATCGCTTCACAAGTATCTTACACTTTAAAGAAATAGGAATTGGAGTTCATAGGTGTATGTGGTATTGTTTACTAAGAAAGATGGCTTGGAACCCCAAACCGATCCATATTCAAAGAAGAGGCTTTGGCCTTATATGAAAAGATTGGCAGAGGAATTAATGGTATATTCAAGTGTGCATTTTAAGTTAATGTTTACAATAGTAGTCATATTTTATGGTTTCCCATTTTATCCAACATTTTTGTCAGTCATCCAACTCCTGTTTCCACTTGGGTCAGTTAAGGGGACTAATAACCATACTACCAAAATAATAAAAAGTGCTCATTGGGAATACCACTCAGCCATGAAAAAGACAGAATTGTCCTATTCACAACAACATGGATGGACCTTGAGGATATCATGTTAAGTGAAATAAGCCAGACGGAGAAAGACAAACACCGTGGGATTTCACTCGTATGTGGAAGATAAACAAACACACAGACAAAGAGAACAGTTTAGTGGTTACCAGAGGGGAAGGGGGTTGGGGGGGGGTGGGCAAAAGGGGTAAAGGGCATATAGATATGGTGACTGACAAATAATAATGTACAACTAAAATCTCACAATGTTATAAACTATTATGACCTCAAAAAATTATTTTTAAAAAGTGCTCATTGAAGAAAAGTTAGAAAATGTGAGAAAAGAGAATAAAAATTACCTGTTTTTATAACCCAGTGAGAACTTTTATACATTTGAATTCATACCAAATTTCCAGATCGGTGTGCAACCATGAATAATGAGAGTAATCTTTGTCTCTACAAACCATAGTATTTACGTATTTCCCCATCTGCAGCACTAATGCCCATCATGCATGACCTTCTTGGATGAATTCAGTACCTGACAGGAATAGCCTCTATTCTGCCCTCAGTTTCAGTGTTGTTGGAGTCCTTCCTGTGTCTGATCTGCTATACTCATAATCTCTGTATTCAAATGGTTTTTCCAGCTAGGTGTCTATAATCTTTATTCCTCGGTGGGGTATTAGCCTTAAATCAGTTACCTTTCCTGCCGTGGCAAAATGGGCCGGGCAGCCTAGGTGGAAACCTGAAGGTCTCTCTTGTCCCTGTAGACTAAAGCAAATTTTAACAGTTTTCCGTTTCATTGCCTGCAGGCCCTACTCTTAATTCTCTGAGTGCCAGAATAGCCAAACAGACACTCTTTCTGGCTCAAAATAAGACTGAGAGAGAGCAGGCATGGCAGAGAACGCCAACGGTCAAGAAGCCCCAGAAATCCTTCCGTGTCTTCTAGCAAAAAGACACCCCTAAGTGTCCCAGGAATGACAATCAGAAGGTCTCAAAGGGCCCAGGCCTCACCAGTTAGCTCTTCTTGCCATACCCAAGT